ATATATATATATATATACAGATCTGCAAATGTCAGAGGGCTTATCGATCACACCATCTTTGTCACCTCCACGACCAATCACCCTCTATGGCTGCCCCACAACAAGTCACCATCTTTGTCTCCTGCACCCATCTTCCTCGTTTCTGCCTCTCTCATCTACCTCCATCATCATCGATCTCTTCTGTCTATATCTTCCACTAATCTTATCTCTTCCTCCTTCCTCACAAATAGAGGTGGGCCAAAATCGGTTCGGGGCCGGGCCGGTTCGGACCTAAATCGGTCCCGTCCCCAAAATAGTTATCCCGTAACCGGTCCCGACCCAAATACAAAGATCCGGTTAATGTGTATGAGGCCTGGTTATGAGAGTTGATCCCGGAAAAGATGGTCGTGCTGGTGAAGTTCATCCACGAGGTAAATGCGCACATATATATAGGGGTTCATTCAAAGGAGAACTGGGTAGTTTGTGGTAACCGTGAGATCCAATCTAAACCACAAATCAACAGATAAATTAGGAAATTTATAATTTTGATAATTTTTAATTAAAATTTTAATGCAAGGACATTTTAGGTATTTTCTCTCCTCTCTCTTCTCTTCTCTCTCCGTCCCCGTCTTTCGGCCACCGTCCTCCCGTGATACCACAATGTGATACTCAAGCACATATAAGATGTATTTGTGATACCATTGTGTTACATATCTGATCGACCGCACAAACAACCACAATGTGATACCCAATCACATATAAGATGCATTGTGATGTCATTGTGGTATCATCGGAGGACGGTGGTCGGAGGTCGGGGGACGGAGAGAGAAGAGAGGAGATAAGATAGTGGAGAGAAAATAACTAAAATGTCATTGCATTAAAATTTTAATTAAAAATTACCAAAATTAAAAAATTTATAATTAATCTATTGATTTGTGGTTGAGATTGTACCTCACKGTTACCACAAACTAATTAGTTCTCATTTGATTAAGCCCATATATATATATATATATATATATATAGAGAGAGAGAGAGAGAGAGAGAGGGATGTTATTCTACACCCTTTGCCATTCCTACACCCTATACAACCTTCATCTCAACC